GCCCAGAGGATGTCTAAGAGAGATGAATGGAAGACTACGCCGACCCCGATTAATGGGATAAACGCGGGAAGATGATGAATAGGAACCTTTAAGATCATGTACCAATACCTTCACGATTCTTTATTTATATTACGAAGAATTTTCTTTCTTTCCAGATATTCTTTAATATATTTCGATTGTTATTTACCTTGTCAATCATAAAACAATATTTCAAACAACAATAGTGATATTAGTAAACACAAAAGCATGTTTTATTCTCTACTAACCATTTTCAATAACACAATTTTTATTACGCTTTATCCTGTTTACGAACAAGCAATAATTTTGTTAACCAAAATATTTGTTCTCGAAAGAAGTTAGTGGAGGGGGTGAGCGACCTTCAACCATTCCCTGATTATGAGGGTTGTTTTCCAACTTAGAATTAGGGCAATACCACACTAACCTGGTTAGCCTTTTCTGAAAAACGTAGATTACATCCATTGGTATCGCAAGGGGAGGTTATAAGGAAAATTAAGATTTCAGTATTCCAGCCTGAAACCTAATTTTAAAAAAGTACTTGTAGTACAAAGAAATAAATTGAATTGGAGACACTGCTGATATATATTCTTCTCGAAAGCTACAATTTAGACCTGTTTAAAGCTAGCGCATAGTATAATAACTCCACTTCAATGAACAATACACCAACTTAATTTTTGGACCAGGAGGTCTACCACAAAATACGATACTACGTGACAATGAAGCTCATATACAGCTATGGTATCGAATTTTAACATTACTTTCATAGTAAAACTGGCATATAGTGTAGGACGTATGAGCTTCGTTGGTACGTATTTCGTGGTAGACCTCCTGTTCTGTTTTTATTTTGTTTTTTGTTTCTTTTTTTTCCCAAAATTCGAAGAGCATAAGATTAGTAAATAAATATGACTATTTACAAAAATAACAGAAAATGACCGAATAATAAAGTTGGTTTAGTGTACATTGGAGGTATCGAACTAACAAATAATACAACTCCAAACAAACGCAGCAGTGTGGCTTGTATGTGCACACATACTCGCTCTCAGCGCGCCATGTACGGACGCACACATTCGCATAATCTCGCGGTGCACTCGAGTTGCACATCCCACGACCCATTCATTATGTTCGCTCAATATTTAAACAATGACATCCAATAGTAAATGTGTTTAAAGCGTAAAACACGCAGAGAGAGGGTGCGGGTCCTGTCGAGACCGCGGTGGGTCTAATGCCATGTATTTATATGGGCGAAGAAATAACGAGCGCGGGCACGGGACGTGCATTTTTTAACGATATTAATTATACATATATTAATTACATTTTATTATTAATTGGTAATTACAATAAATTAATACATGCTAATTAGTGCTGCAGTCTTATGTTTGCGTGGGATTTTTTTCATTAGTACCACCCGTACCACCAATTTGGGATCCAGTATTTCTTATACTGGATCCCAAATTGATGGTACGGAGAAACCATCTTCCATAGAGGTAGATAATGGACTTCTTTTGCAAAGACTTGCGATTTGTTAAACTTAATAGAGTGTGAAGGTTTATCCATGATATGCTCGTAGAGAGCAGGCTTATTTACTTATTTACAGCCCATTGAAAACCAGCGTCATAGCCTAGTCATGGTTGTGACTTTAGCTGAATGGGATACGCCACAGCCGCACAGATGTCAGTATATATGTCGAACTTGTTATTTAAATGTTGATACGCTATTTTCTTTTGTGTTATTTCCTTTTATTTATATTAATCTTTTTTATGGCCTTTTTTATAGTGTGGCGTTACAATAAATGGTTTCTATTTCTATTCTATCCGCTCACGCGATGCGGTCCTCCTACCGCAAAATGGCGGCTATTTGGTTTCGCAAATTAGATAAGCATTCAGTTTAAATACAAGTTTTTATAAATAAAAATTATTATTCTGCATTGCTAAATAAATACCCTCCGTACTACCAACAAAAACATCTCAAATAAAATGCAGTAATACACCGCAAATTCTGCACTTAAAAAGCACTAATGACATTTTTGGTGTACTTGGATAAATATGATAATATTCCGTTTGAGTGGTTCTAACGTTTACCATGAAATTACTCCTTAAAGTATAGCTTATAAACATTTATATTCAGGGCAAACTTAAAAAATGCTACTTACGGTATGTTTTCAATAAATAAACACCGAAATCACCAGCCCAAACAATAACACACACGATTGTCGTGACGTATTTTTGAAGTTGTTTATTTTTTTTAAATGACGGACCCAGGCATTAAAAACTTTATAATTTGCTAGAGTAGTTACCGAAATAGCAATTAGTATTAGTTCTTTTACCTGTTATAACTTCGATATCCCATAAATCGGTATAAATCATCACCGGCATCTCTAGGTGTGGTATGCGTCTACGGCTGCATGTATCGCGTGAGCGGTTATTCTGTTAATTTAGTTATACTATGACTGAAAACGTATTTTCTCCGGCCACACCGTCTCTTAAAATCAGGTGAGATTTTAGTCAAATGTTTATCTATTTTACATAAAAAATCACCAAGTATAAACCTTCCTTAGGAAAGGCTGTTGTTTTTCCTGAAGTTACCCATACAATTTACATAACTCGCCGGCCACAGTTGCCAAGTTTAATACCCACCATCATCTTAGTTTATTGAATTTTTAATAACTTTTGTCGAGAAACTACCGTCGTATACATCAAATTTTTCTACGTTGCACTTGAACAGCGTGGTATCCAATTCATCTTGAAAATTATAAACGAAAAGCAGCTTCTGAAGCTAATTAACAAAGTACTCGTGCAATTTTTCTCATGTCAGATATTCTTTTCTTTCAAAGCTGCCGTGGCATACCAATAAACTGTAAAGTCACTTAAGGTGTAAGCGTCATATTAGACATATAAATAATTTTGTCTTATTGTAATTATATTTTTGTAATATTAGAGCACTATTTATATTAAAGAGTATATTTGGTCATGAGTATTGTTTCCGTTGCTACATTGTTAGGTTGGTAGCGCCAGTAGCTTTAGTTGATGGCGCCACAATACACTATGTTAGTGGCGCCAAAAATGCAGCCCTACCAAAAAGCCCCCACCATACTGCTAACGCTTCTTAATTTGTGATACTCGAGTGCTCGACATTCTGTTTGTTGGAGTCTCAGAGGACAGTGCCTCTCATTTTGCTTTACCGTGCCGTTTTATCGTGCAAAGTGCATAATTGTAATAAGTCTTCATATTAATAAACGAAGAATACAAGGAGTTGGAATTTTATTTCTGGAACTTCCTAATACAGGGTTTTGATTTAGCAGCGCTCATATGATTTCTCTAGGCCGAATCTACACCCTGACATTTCAACTTTGGAGTATTAGTGTTGATTAATGAGATAATAAAAACTAAAATATACTGTAAGTTTTAAAATTTAGAATTTATTTTGATATAACACGGTACGCAGCAATACAATCTTTTGTCTTTTGGTTCAAATTTTAACAATAAAAACGACATTCTGTCGTAACAAACCAAAACACTGCAAGGTTCAATACATTTTTTTGTAATTTCACAACAACAAGGATCTTTCGGCTGTTAACGAGGTAAAAGAAACCACCACACTTGTTGACATGGAATCATATTGAGCTGGTCAGAAGCAGCTTTATTTCCATATAATATGTATGAAAACCACGTTATGGTAGAAGCGAAACGTGTAACGTCTTTTTCGCTCTTATTGCGTAGATATTAAGCTATTTATGACAGATTCAAGTAAACATCACGTTAATAAGTATAATGACTTACTCGCTACACATTGAGAATGAAATTAAGTTTCTGATCTTAATGTTTTTCATTTATTTCTTTGATACAGCACGGAATTTTCGGTCAACCTATTATATATGGGAGTAGTTTAGTAGCAGTAAAGCTAGCGTTGTAAAAAACTCGAGTCCGGGAGTCTATATTTATAAACTCGACTTGATTTTGCTCAGCTCGGTTGGACTCACGAGTCCAAGTCTAGTCGAGCGCGAGTCATCGGAGCACGGACTCTAGTCTAAAAAGAACTCGAGTAGTAAACCTTTGAATAAAACTAGAGTTCGAAAACTCGACTCAA